TAAAGGGCAAATCCGGTTAATAATAAATTATAAAACTGAAAGCCCGAAGTATCATTTTCTTCTCTCATTTATAATTGCTCATCAATCGGAAATAACAATTTTTTATTTTATTTATTTTTCTAAAAAAATTTTTATTGATGAATGCTATAAATATATTATACCATATCTAAATTATAATTTAAAATTTCTAGATACTAATTAGAAAATGTAACTTGCATTATTTTAAATGTGCATGTAAATCTAAAAAAAGAATTCTGTAAAAATTTTGTTATAACATCATTTAAATCAACAGGCAAGCAGATCAAGATTAATATCTTGCAAAAAAATTCTTTGCTAAGACAAAAAGCTTGTTTTCTGGTAATATTTTAAGATAGGATTTTTGAAATCTGTGCTGAGCTATGTTAATCTCTAAACCTAAAAGATATAGGAAAATCAAAAATAGGATTACAGAAGATCGTACGTACATGATAATATGAATGACCGAAATAGTATGGTAAAAGGTGAATAAATATATTATAATGATATATTCTAAAACTAATACAGTAATATATGGCATAGTATCACCATGATAAAATGTACCTATTTTAAAAAATTATACCATACTATATATTGTATATATATAATATAACGATAGTTTCTAAGCCTAATACAGTAATATATAACACCAGATCAGTATAACAAATTTTCAGTTTATACCTCATACTGTGCAAATATGATCGCCACGCCATACTGATCTGTGTGAATTGCAATATTCGACACATAGCCATTCTTTTTTAGATATTTAAAATATAAACAAAAATGACAAACCTAAAAAAAGAACAATAGGCGAATAGATTACAGAACCTAAAATTGGTTAATCGAAATCTTTAAAAAGTTACAGAAAGAATGTTATGATCCTTATTAATTAAAAATCGTTTCTATTAATATATGTCTTAACGTTTTGAAAAATATTGAAAAATGAAGCAATAATACTTGTTAGAAAAAATAAAAAATTATATTGATTTATTAGTTAAGAACCGTAACTTCAACCTGAACTTTTATGGAATTGAACCAGAAAATTATTAGTTTTGGAGACTAGTCTATCTTTATAAATTAGTCATGATATGCTTTAACTGCATTATGATACATATTATATGTTTAAGTAACACAAATCACAATGATCTTGATTGGCCAATAATCAGATTCATTTTATTCCGGACAGACATTAAAAGTTTAATATAATTTATAGACAGATAATTCAAATCAAATCAAATATTTGATATATTTGTTAATCAAATTCAAATCAAATAATTATCTGATTTGAATTTGATCAAATCAAATCAAATAATTATCCGATTTGAATTTGATTAAATCAAATTTGAAGTTGATTTGAATTTGATTTGAAATCAAATATTTGATCAAATCAAATCAAATCAAATCAAATTAAGGAACCCTAGGGGACCCCTACATAGTGATTATAAAAAATCTTTATAAGTTTCATATGAAAATGCCTTTTTATTATAAAATTTGGACATGAAGATCCTATTGCGGTTGACACTACATAACTAAATTTTGAAGCTTTGATAAAAAAAATTTATGAAATAAAAATTATAACATGGTGTGCTTTCATTTTAGCTTAGAAAATAGGTGGGTGTGAGCTAATGAAATTTTGAGTAAATGCACAAAAACAGGTCAAAAATCATTTTAGCATACAAATTTGTACACTAGACAGTTTAAGGGATAATATTCTGGTCCTAGACATTTAGATCTTGATTTAGAGATAATTCTTAATATAAAATCATCATTAAATGAAATTCCATCAAATACTCTTTGCCTAGTTAAAATCTCTGTTGCAATAACTCCAAGACTGTAAATATCTGATGCTTGATTATGCAGTTGGCTCACTATACCTCTAGTACTATATACATCAGAATTCTAAAAATTTTCCTTCTTTTACTTTTTTAGAAAGTATAATATACATTATGAAAATAATCTTTCCACTATATAAATCTCTGTGAATGAGTTTTTACAAATGAATCAGCTCGAGATCTAATGTTATATAGTACAAAATATTTAATTTATCACTCCATTCCAATTATGATACTTGTACAAGTTTTGTTATAATAATCTTTTTGATGCAATGTATAAAGCAATCATCATAATTATTTTTTGAAATTCTAAAACATTTCAAGAACGAAGAATTCTCATAACCAACTTTACAGTAATTTTTCAATTTCTGGATAAATTCTTGCTTACTTTAATCGCAATATCAAGCTGTCTACTATTAATTCTGTTAGCTCAATTTGCCTAATATACAGTTGTAAATCTACCCTTTCCTATTTATAAACTTACTAGAATCAATTCAAGATAATTTAAATCTCTTATCATTAATATTCTCTTAAGTTTAGGATTAATATAATTTGGTGATATACACTATGTGGTAAACTTGTATAGGAATAAAAGTAAAGTGAACAATTAATCGATATCATATATAATGCATATGACAATAAGACGTGTGATGTACTATATTAATTAAAACTATGTATGATATTATATAAAAGTCTATTATCAAATTTTTTAGATAGTTTTAAATATAATAACGAAAATTATTAAAATTTTAAATAGATACACAGCCCTAACAGTTTAATAGTATCAGATAAAATTTTGTAGAAACCAATATTATGTCTTTATAAACAAAGCTATAATGCCATTTTTTAAAAAATAAATTAAATTAAATCTTTATCTTTTGCTATTTTTTAAAGAAAAAATAATAAATTAAAAATTTTTATACTTGAAAAAAAAAAAATTGCTTTATAGCTTATAGTCCTCACAAAACCGTACCCAAGAATGGTCACACTTTTTTCACCAAATTGACTGGAATGCCTCTTGGTTATACTTTAACAATAACTAAAAAACTTCTTATAATTTTACCAATCCCAAATTAAACCTTCTAAAATCATTTAAAATCAAAATGTTACTTAATATATTACCTACATATGCATATCTCTATAATATTTATTCTCATATTTTTACATCTCCTAACTGCTATTCATGCAATAATTTAGAATCTTCTTCGCATTGCTACACTTGTCCCAACCACACATCTTTAATCCAAATTATCAACACATCAAGCTACAATTACAAGGGCTATTATTCACATTCTTATTCTCATCAATTTCACATACTTCTTTTTTGATTCTATCAATCACCCATCTAGAAATTTTTCCAAGCAATAATTCAAACCTTTTGTCATTACGTATAAATGGATCAGCAGAAACAATGTTCGAGCCTAGAGCTCTATTCGTTTGTAGTTGGCGTTGATGAAAGGCACGATCAATATGTAAAAATACTTGCTCCAAACCACTTGATGCTTCTATTGCCTTTTTTAGAGCGCTGTGACTTCCTTCTGCTCTCTGTGTCGACTGGGTTCCCATATGTGGATAATTCTTTGTAAAAACATGCATCCAACACTCTGCATCTTTTTTCCATTCTTCAAGATAAT